TAGTGGGCCCCTGTGTTTGTATGTATAGGTGTTGAAGTCAAAGACTTGCTTTCCAAAATGCAACATAGCCATTTGGAATACTGGTGCCAAATGTCTAGAGTCTTAAGACTCCAGAGAGTAAATCACAGCAGAAAAGCTGACTCTCGAGGAAAATTCTTCCCAAAAAGTGACGAAGAATGGCGTTATGGCGTTTTGGAGGGAAACTCTTTGATTTGATGTTGAAATCAAGTTCATTAGTGCACAGACTAACCCTCTCTTTTTTTCTTTTTGCAGTCTTTTTTTCTTTCTTCCCTGTCTCTTGTCCGAGTGTACTTGCAGGTATTGACGACGGCCGGGACGGGATGTTCTCTGAGGGTCCGCTGTTGGGGTTTTGTGAGTTGAGTTGTGCATGTTTAATTTCATGCTTTTTCTTGGAGTTTGATTGTGTAGTGGGGCCCCTGTGTTTGTATGTATAGGTGTTGAAGTCAAAGACTTGCTTTCCAAAATGCAACATAGCCATTTGGAATACTGGTGCCAAATGTCTAGAGTCTTAAGACTCCAGAGAGTAAATCACAGCAGAAAAGCTGACTCTCGAGGAAAATTCTTGCCAAAAAGTGACGAAGAATGGCGTTATGGCGTTTTGGAGGGAAACTCTTTGATTTGATGTTGAAATCAAGTTCATTAGTGCACAGACTAACCCTCTCTTTTTTTCTTTTGCAGTCTTTTTTCTTTCTTCCCTGTCTCTTGTCCGAGTGTACTTGCAGGTATTGACGACGGCCGGGACGGGATGTTCTCTGAGGGTCCGCTGTTGGGGTTTTGTGAGTTGAGTTGTGCATGTTTAATTTCATGCTTTTTCTTGGAGTTTGATTGTGTAGTGGGGCCCCTGTGTTTGTATGTATAGGTGTTGAAGTCAAAGACTTGCTTTCCAAAATGCAACATAGCCATTTGGAATACTGGTGCCAAATGTCTAGAGTCTTAAGACTCCAGAGAGTAAATCACAGCAGAAAAGCTGACTCTCGAGGAAAATTCTTCCCAAAAGTGACGAAGAATGGCGTTATGGCGTTTTGGAGGGAAACTCTTTGATTTGATGTTGAAATCAAGTTCATTAGTGCACAGACTAACCCTCTCTTTTTTTCTTTTGCAGTCTTTTTTTTCTTTCTTCCCTGTCTCTTGTCCGAGTGTACTTGCAGGTATTGACGACGGCCGGGACGGGATGTTCTCTGAGGGTCCGCTGTTGGGGTTTTGTGAGTTGAGTTGTGCATGTTTAATTTCATGCTTTTTCTTGGAGTTTGATTGTGTAGTGGGGCCCCTGTGTTTGTATGTATAGGTGTTGAAGTCAAAGACTTGCTTTCCAAAATGCAACATAGCCATTTGGAATACTGGTGCCAAATGTCTAGAGTCTTAAGACTCCAGAGAGTAAATCACAGCAGAAAAGCTGACTCTCGAGGAAAATTCTTGCCCAAAAGTGACGAAGAATGGCGTTATGGCGTTTTGGAGGGAAACTCTTTGATTTGATGTTGAAATCAAGTTCATTAGTGCACAGACTAACCCTCTCTTTTTTTCTTTTGCAGTCTTTTTTCTTTCTTCCCTGTCTCTTGTCCGAGTGTACTTGCAGGTATTGACGACGGCCGGGACGGGATGTTCTCTGAGGGTCCGCTGTTGGGGTTTTGTGAGTTGAGTTGTGCATGTTTAATTTCATGCTTTTTCTTGGAGTTTGATTGTGTAGTGGGGCCCCTGTGTTTGTATGTATAGGTGTTGAAGTCAAAGACTTGCTTTCCAAAATGCAACATAGCCATTTGGAATACTGGTGCCAAATGTCTAGAGTCTTAAGACTCCAGAGAGTAAATCACAGCAGAAAAGCTGACTCTCGAGGAAAATTCTTGCCAAAAAGTGACGAAGAATGGCGTTATGGCGTTTTGGAGGGAAACTCTTTGATTTGATGTTGAAATCAAGTTCATTAGTGCACAGACTAACCCTCTCTTTTTTTCTTTTGCAGTCTTTTTTCTTTCTTCCCTGTCTCTTGTCCGAGTGTACTTGCAGGTATTGACGACGGCCGGGACGGGATGTTCTCTGAGGGTCCGCTGTTGGGGTTTTGTGAGTTGAGTTGTGCATGTTTAATTTCATGCTTTTTCTTGAGTTTGATTGTGTAGTGGGGCCCCTGTGTTTGTATGTATAGGTGTTGAAGTCAAAGACTTGCTTTCCAAAATGCAACATAGCCATTTGGAATACTGGTGCCAAATGTCTAGAGTCTTAAGACTCCAGAGAGTAAATCACAGCAGAAAAGCTGACTCTCGAGGAAAATTCTTCCCAAAAAGTGACGAAGAATGGCGTTATGGCGTTTTGGAGGGAAACTCTTTGATTTGATGTTGAAATCAAGTTCATTAGTGCACAGACTAACCCTCTCTTTTTTTCTTTTGCAGTCTTTTTTTCTTTCTTCCCTGTCTCTTGTCCGAGTGTACTTGCAGGTATTGACGACGGCCGGGACGGGATGTTCTCTGAGGGTCCGCTGTTGGGTTTTGTGAGTTGAGTTGTGCATGTTTAATTTCATGCTTTTTCTTGGAGTTTTATTGTGTAGTGGGGCCCCTGTGTTTGTATGTATAGGTGTTGAAGTCAAAGACTTGCTTTCCAAAATGCAACATAGCCATTTGGAATACTGGTGCCAAATGTCTAGAGTCTTAAGACTCCAGAGAGTAAATCACAGCAGAAAAGCTGACTCTCGAGGAAAATTCTTCCCAAAAAGTGACGAAGAATGGCGTTATGGCGTTTTGGAGGGAAACTCTTTGATTTGATGTTGAAATCAAGTTCATTAGTGCACAGACTAACCCTCTCTTTTTTTCTTTTGCAGTCTTTTTTTTTCTTTCTTCCTGTCTCTTGTCCGAGTGTACTTGCAGGTATTGACGACGGCCGGGACGGGATGTTCTCTGAGGGTCCGCTGTTGGGGTTTTGTGAGTTGAGTTGTGCATGTTTAATTTCATGCTTTTTCTGGAGTTTGATTGTGTAGTGGGGCCCCTGTGTTTGTATGTATAGGTGTTGAAGTCAAAGACTTGCTTTCCAAAATGCAACATAGCCATTTGGAATACTGGTGCCAAATGTCTAGAGTCTTAAGACTCCAGAGAGTAAATCACAGCAGAAAAGCTGACTCTCGAGGAAAATTCTTCCCAAAAGTGACGAAGAATGGCGTTATGGCGTTTTGGAGGGAAACTCTTTGATTTGATGTTGAAATCAAGTTCATTAGTGCACAGACTAACCCTCTCTTTTTTTCTTTTGCAGTCTTTTTTCTTTCTTCCCTGTCTCTTGTCCGAGTGTACTTGCAGGTATTGACGACGGCCGGGACGGGATGTTCTCTGAGGGTCCGCTGTTGGGGTTTTGTGAGTTGAGTTGTGCATGTTTAATTTCATGCTTTTTCTTGGAGTTTGATTGTGTAGTGGGGCCCCTGTGTTTGTATGTATAGGTGTTGAAGTCAAAGACTTGCTTTCCAAAATGCAACATAGCCATTTGGAATACTGGTGCCAAATGTCTAGAGTCTTAAGACTCCAGAGAGTAAATCACAGCAGAAAAGCTGACTCTCGAGGAAAATTCTTGCCAAAAAGTGACGAAGAATGGCGTTATGGCGTTTTGGAGGGAAACTCTTTGATTTGATGTTGAAATCAAGTTCATTAGTGCACAGACTAACCCTCTCTTTTTTTCTTTTGCAGTCTTTTTTCTTTCTTCCCTGTCTCTTGTCCGAGTGTACTTGCAGGTATTGACGACGGCCGGGACGGGATGTTCTCTGAGGGTCCGCTGTTGGGGTTTTGTGAGTTGAGTTGTGCATGTTTAATTTCATGCTTTTTCTTGGAGTTTGATTGTGTAGTGGGGCCCCTGTGTTTGTATGTATAGGTGTTGAAGTCAAAGACTTGCTTTCCCAAAATGCAACATAGCCATTTGGAATACTGGTGCCAAATGTCTAGAGTCTTAAGACTCCAGAGAGTAAATCACAGCAGAAAAGCTGACTCTCGAGGAAAATTCTTGCCAAAAAGTGACGAAGAATGGCGTTATGGCGTTTTGGAGGGAAACTCTTTGATTTGATGTTGAAATCAAGTTCATTAGTGCACAGACTAACCCTCTCTTTTTTTCTTTTGCAGTCTTTTTTCTTTCTTCCCTGTCTCTTGTCCGAGTGTACTTGCAGGTATTGACGACGGCCGGGACGGGATGTTCTCTGAGGGTCCGCTGTTGGGGTTTTGTGAGTTGAGTTGTGCATGTTTAATTTCATGCTTTTTCTTGGAGTTTGATTGTGTAGTGGGGCCCCTGTGTTTGTATGTATAGGTGTTGAAGTCAAAGACTTGCTTTCCAAAATGCAACATAGCCATTTGGAATACTGGTGCCAAATGTCTAGAGTCTTAAGACTCCAGAGAGTAAATCACAGCAGAAAAGCTGACTCTCGAGGAAAATTCTTCCCAAAAAGTGACGAAGAATGGCGTTATGGCGTTTTGGAGGGAAACTCTTTGATTTGATGTTGAAATCAAGTTCATTAGTGCACAGACTAACCCTCTCTTTTTTTCTTTTGCAGTCTTTTTTCTTTCTTCCCTGTCTCTTGTCCGAGTGTACTTGCAGGTATTGACGACGGCCGGGACGGGATGTTCTCTGAGGGTCCGCTGTTGGGGTTTGTGAGTTGAGTTGTGCATGTTTAATTTCATGCTTTTTCTTGGAGTTTGATTGTGTAGTGGGGCCCCTGTGTTTGTATGTATAGGTGTTGAAGTCAAAGACTTGCTTTCCAAAATGCAACATAGCCATTTGGAATACTGGTGCCAAATGTCTAGAGTCTTAAGACTCCAGAGAGTAAATCACAGCAGAAAAGCTGACTCTCGAGGAAAATTCTTGCCAAAAAGTGACGAAGAATGGCGTTTTGGAGGGAAACTCTTTGATTTGATGTTGAAATCAAGTTCATTAGTGCACAGACTAACCCTCTCTTTTTTCTTTTGCAGTCTTTTTTCTTTCTTCCCTGTCTCTTGTCCGAGTGTACTTGCAGGTATTGACGACGGCCGGGACGGGATGTTCTCTGAGGGTCCGCTGTTGGGGTTTTGTGAGTTGAGTTGTGCATGTTTAATTTCATGCTTTTTCTTGGAGTTTGATTGTGTAGTGGGGCCCCTGTGTTTGTATGTATAGGTGTTGAAGTCAAAGACTTGCTTTCCAAAATGCAACATAGCCATTTGGAATACTGGTGCCAAATGTCTAGAGTCTTAAGACTCCAGAGAGTAAATCACAGCAGAAAAGCTGACTCTCGAGGAAAATTCTTCCCAAAAAGTGACGAAGAATGGCGTTATGGCGTTTTGGAGGGAAACTCTTTGATTTGATGTTGAAATCAAGTTCATTAGTGCACAGACTAACCCTCTCTTTTTTTCTTTTGCAGTCTTTTTTTCTTTCTTCCCTGTCTCTTGTCCGAGTGTACTTGCAGGTATTGACGACGGCCGGGACGGGATGTTCTCTGAGGGTCCGCTGTTGGGGTTTTGTGAGTTGAGTTGTGCATGTTTAATTTCATGCTTTTTCTTGGAGTTTGATTGTGTAGTGGGGCCCCTGTGTTTGTATGTATAGGTGTTGAAGTCAAAGACTTGCTTTCCAAAATGCAACATAGCCATTTGGAATACTGGTGCCAAATGTCTAGAGTCTTAAGACTCCAGAGAGTAAATCACAGCAGAAAAGCTGACTCTCGAGGAAAATTCTTGCCAAAAAGTGACGAAGAATGGCGTTATGGCGTTTTGGAGGGAAACTCTTTGATTTGATGTTGAAATCAAGTTCATTAGTGCACAGACTAACCCTCTCTTTTTTTCTTTTGCAGTCTTTTTTCTTTCTTCCCTGTCTCTTGTCCGAGTGTACTTGCAGGTATTGACGACGGCCGGGACGGGATGTTCTCTGAGGGTCCGCTGTTGGGGTTTTGTGAGTTGAGTTGTGTAATCACAGCAGAAAAGCTGACTCTCGAGGAAAATTCTTCCCAAAAAGTGACGAAGAATGGCGTTATGGCGTTTTTGGAGGGAAACTCTTTGATTTGATGTTGAAATCAAGTTCATTTTGCACAGACTAACCCTGGCTTTTTTTTTTTGCATTTTTTTTTTTTTTTTGCAGTTTTTTTTTTTTTTTTCCCTGTCTTTGTCCGAGTGTACTTGCAGGTATTGACGACGGCCGGGACGGGATGTTCTCTGAGGGTCCGCTGTTGGGGTTTTGTGAGTTGAGTTGTGCATGTTTAATTTCATGCTTTTTCTTGGAGTTTTATTGTGTAGTGGGGCCCCTGTGTTTGTATGTATAGGTGTTGAAGTCAAAGACTTGCTTTCCAAAATGCAACATAGCCATTTGTAGACAATTCAACATTGTGCATAATAAAATATACATGTATGATCAAGTACCGGTAGCTTTTTTTTGATAAAATCAATCAGTTTGTTTTTATAATACGTTTAGCTGCCTCATTGTTATGGCCTAATTTCATCCTCATTATCAGGTGAAATCCATTGCTTCAAATTGTATACAACCTCAATCTGCTGAAATGTTCTTTTTGTGGCATTTGTTCATGGAGGGTTAATCACTGGCTAAATCTTGCAAAATGCAAGAGTGACAATTTACGCAAACTGTAGCATCAAGAATTATATACATGTCTTAAATTTTTAGATGTAATTTGAGGTAATGACAAATTGTAATACATGAACTTGAATTTGATACTGATCAAATAGAGAAATGAAGGTACTTGTGTTGAACTTACTACAGTTTTAATGATTAGGGTAATTTGTTTTTTGTCAAGGTTGTCTTTCAAACAGAAATCGTGTGCAATATCCAAGGTAATTTTAAATACTCATGCAAGTATGATGCATTTGTTTTTCTAGGTAAAGTTCATCTCTGACGATTATACTGAAGAGATGTACATAAAGCAGAAGATGCAGTGAGTTCATTGATGGTAAGTGAAAAATGTCACAAAAAGAACTGTGAAATAATGGTACCTGATGGATTATAACTTAGTGTAATCTGAAAGATGTTTCTTACATCAGCATACCCAAAATAATACCTAAAGGAGGAAAGATGAGGAAAGATGGTTTGTCAGACAGGTACATTTTGGAATGCCGCTGGATGACGTTTACATAAATATTTATCGTAGAGAGCCAACAAACAAGATAACTGGAACTTATGTGGATGGAGCAACCGAGCTGACTGAACTTCAGAGATGCTATGGGTCATCAACACCACCATTCTTCAAACCTTTAAAATATCCTAGGACAACAACCATCTTGCCGGATCATTCTCGCCCGGAGGGGACAACATGTCCTGAGCGCAATTGACCTTGCCAGGGTCAGGTCACGACCTGTGATGCCACCCAGGTCATACCAGAGGGAAGAGGTCATCAAAGCAACGTACGAAGTAGGGGTCAAGGTGTAATTCCCTATGTGACCTATTTGGCACGTGGATCCAGCAGCTTTGGACGCTTCTAGTTTTTCCAACCATTTTACGGTTTCTGTCCCCCACAGATGGGAAGACAGTGTTTGCTGACAAAAAAAGTTGAGAGCTGTACATGTGTACGTTCTTACGTGGGAGTATTTTGACACCCTCTTTAATTAGTGCCAGTTGCAATATTCCAGATTCGGCAATCGATTGCATTGTAGAACAGCTAGTAAAAACTCAACTGGATATTGAGATGCAAACGACCCAAGTAAAGTCTGCCTCACATGGACTTCTGCCTGAAAAAAGACAGAAGTGCTGCACTTCTTCACACATGCGCCTTGAAAAGAGCCACCCCTGCGTATCTCAATTGACAGAATGGAGTTGGTATGCAGATGAACAGTTTGGCTCTTTTGTAGCGGTAATGCTTGACAGAGATGTGGACAGTAAACTGATCAAAGGAAACTCTGCTTGTGGCAGTGTTTACAAACTTGTCTTAACCAAGAACATAAAGAAATATAGCAATACATGAGCATGTACTGTCCAAAGCTAGTCTTGCGTCTTGTCTATATGGTGCGGATACATACTGGGTTGTCAGCCTTTGATACCTGCTGCTCCTTTAGTGTGTTTCCATTACTGTTGCTTCTACACTAATGTGGACACAAACTGGACTGATTTCATCCGGGGCAGTAGAGGTCTTTAGTATGTTGCATGTTGAATTGAGAAAGATGTGTCTCCACGTTTCAGGATCATAACCTACTAAAGATTGTTCAGTACACAGAACTATGTACTTATGATCTTGACAGAGGAGCACTGTGGAAGAGATATGCAGACATCTTAAAAAATCTCTCATCACTTGCTGCATCAACCACTACTAGTGTGGAAGGCAAGCTGCTGATGATTGTGTTAGCTGGAGATTGGCCTTGTCAACCAGGCCCCCTACTTCAAAGGCAGCCTCAAGCATTGGCACATAATTGGAGAAGCAGCAGATGTTAGAGAAACTGTGATGTTTCAGCACTGTTTAGCATAGGCTGTATTAGCTACCATACTACCTAAGTGCCTTTCATGCAGACCTCCAGCTGACTCAGTGCTTGTGTACAGTCATCACCAACAAAGATGATATGATGGATGTGACTTGCAATAGACTGAACTTCTGATTCGTTTGTACAGGTTTCTGTGCTTGGCCACGTTACAGTGCCGTCATCCAGCCTTCAAGCATGGTTCAGGGGAGTGTAACTGTTGAATATTTTACTTAGATTGTATATTTGTAATGTAAGGAGCATCGTTTTGTCAGTTGTAAACAAAACCATTGAACTGAATCGAACTAAAATTTCACACAAGAAAGAACAATACACATGTATGCTTGTGATCATCAACAGCTGGTATAACATTGAATGTGAGATATTTGATATATTATGAGACATGTTATGTATCTTTCCAGAGGGAGTTTTGGGGGACACACTTTATTTTTTTTGTGGAACACCCTTGTGATGGATCCTCATGCATGTCATTCTCTTATCTGATTGTTTGTAGAAGCCATGAACCACAAATCAGCATGTTTCCTTCCAGTTTCCAATGAGCACTCTGACAGCATCACTTAGCATGCCAGTATTCAACATTGTGCAGGTGAGACAGATTGTCTGATGTTCTGGATTTTGGCATAATTATTATTATTTTTTTTTTTAAATTTTTGTTCTTAAAAAAATAAAATGAACTGAATTGTGTTTGGTTTGGATCATCTTCACGGTGAGAATTTCTACTCTGGGGCTTGTGTGCAGACGCTGATTCCCATGCTATAAGGACTTGGGGCTTTCTGATGTTAATTGTGATCAACATAATGTGTCGCCTCACCTATACTTTTGCGAAGTGCTTAACTCAGCTGCGATGTGTTACACATCATCTCGCACTTTTGTGAAATAAATTTCATGCAACCAGACTAATATGTCAGACAGGAACGTGCATTGTAGTAAATATTTGTGTGCATTCCAAAGATAAGTATCATTAAAAACAACTGTGCAATTGCATTATGCATCTAGCATGTCTAGGCAAAATTTCTTTGCAATAGCAATTTTCAAGCTAGAAATTTGTGATCATTTCTCTGATTACTGAAAATTTATATATGTACAACTTCGAAATACTTGCCAATTATGGCATAGGATTTGATGAAGAAGTAATCAATAAATCAATTAATTCTGTGTAGATCATCTCTGTAAAGATGGCTGTGTTGCTTCAGTTGCCACATCTCTACGTATGTTCTTCCTGTTAGCAAAGGCACACTGTGACAGCATCCACTTTCTACATGCTAATACATGCACAGTATTGTTCAGGTGAGTAGATATTTAACTGACAATCTGTTGTGATTGTCACATTAAATGTTGCATGATTGCGGATGTAAAAGTTAAAAACTGCCTGAATAAGAATAACGGTTATAAAAGCTTTTACGCAAAAAAATGTATAAATTTATACTTCAGTGTGAAAAAGCTTCCACAAGTAAAAATATCCTGCCAAATGAAAATAGCAATTCTTGGTGTTAAAACACAAGTACATGTAGTCATTAAAGGGAATATACAACGTTTGCTTTTTCTGTAATTTTGTTGTACTGACTTTTTTTAAGTTTTGTGTTCGTAGATGCTGGAAAAACCAAGAAAAACAATCATGACCTTGTAAGCTGGTTCCCTGACCCCACTGAAATTGAATGGTGACAGTCAGGCTAGCTTGTAGCCATTCATGGGTTGTATCATTGATTGCAAAGAAAATGTGGACTGACTAAATACGGTAAATTTGGGACAGTATGTGAAAAGAGTCAGATTTTCCAAAGGCTGGTCGATCAATTAGTGTTGGAAATTGTACAGAAATACCACTTATCTTAAAATGATGGCACACAAGGTAACATGATTTTATAGGATGCTTTAGACTGTCATTTACCAACAGTCCAGTAAGGTATTACATAATAATTTGGTAGTTTTGTTTTGTGATGTATGCAAATGTTGTATTTTCCTGATTTTTAAAAAGGTTATAATGTTTGTACTTTGGACAACGATTGCACTTGGCATGTGGAGTCTGACATAAAAAGGACCTGAATACATTTCTAGAAATAATATTTACACTTTCAGTAAAATGCAACTTGAAGTGATCGTGTCCAATAGTTGCTGAGCAGTTTGCAAAGATTTGTTGTGCCAAAAATTTACCATGCATAATTTGTGTAGAGTGCTGTTTATGATCAAGCATTTCATGTTTTGTTTTATTCAGGGAAAGACATATGCAAACCTATCAGCTTCCAAAGTCGGCAACATCCTGCTGTCACTACAGTCTCAGCACCTACCAGCTCCCACTCTGTCAGCAACATCCTGCTGTCACATGTCCAGCTACCGGTACTTGAAGTTACTGTGTGCTTGTACATTCTCAGCACCTACTAGCTCTCACTCTGTCAGCAACATCCTGCTGTCACATGTCCAGCTATTGGTACTCGGAGTTACTATTTGCTTATACTTTCTCAGCACCTACCAGCTCCCACTCTGTCAGCAACATCCTGTCCAGCTACCGGCACTTGGAGTTATAGTGTGCTTGTACATTCTCAGCACCTACTAGCTCCCACTCTGTCAACAACATCCTGCTGTCACACCTCCAGATATGTGGAGTTATTGTGCTTTTACAGTCTCAGCCAGTATTGGATTGCAAGTTGTCTTATGCTGCTACAACCTACACATTTAGCATTCTCTTGAACCTTGAGGAACCACCATATGAACAAAGAGACAGTCTCTGAAACACTCATAATAAACCTGTCACGGTGGTTTGTTGAACATTCGTATTATTTGGAGGACTTGCAATAAGCTCATATAGTCAACTAGCTATTCCAGTCCTCTGGAATTTGCTTGAGGTTATTCTATACTAGTAGCAAGCCTTTTTTGTGCACGGTCAAGAGTAGATCGAGAAAGCAGTTGTTTTTAAGGGCAAAACAATTGTTCTTGTTCCTTGAAAAAGTTGGTCAAAACATTTTCCCAACCATTTTTTTATTTAAACAGTAAGATAAAGGGCAACGAGGACTGTTTAATGCCATTTCTACATGGTAGAAAAACAATTCAATGCTAATTTTTATCCAAGATATTCAAAGTTTTGGTGTTATTGGCAAAGAGAGTACCCGCAAGAGTGGTTGTGACATGTACATGCAAAACTGTTTGCAATGATTATGCTATTATTATGATAAAAATGGTGCAAAGTACGGCGTTAAAATGGGCTCTCTCCTTGTACATAGCACAATACATAAGTGATTGTGATCATAAATGTATTGAATTACATAAAATACAATTGTGGATAAATATTTGGTAATTTGGGGGAGGGGTGAGTGTAGGGGGGGGGAAGCATATTAATGCCGGTGTCACATGAAAATCCGACTCCTATGAAAATCGGACCCCTTTTCCCTATTATTGGTTAATCCCTCTCACGTGACCGGTCACTTTCCTAATTACCATACTTACGCATGCGCGGTATTACCAATGAGTCCGAATTTCATAGAAACGTAAATTCACGCTACACCGGTGCATACTTTGTCTGATTGCTATGAAAATGTGATATTATCAAGCATTGGCTGATTCATGTTCGCACCAAGTATGCCAGTGTCATGGTCTCACTTATCAGGTGTGCGCACTTCTCCAAAAGGGACATTTAACTTCAATACGCACGTGCAAAATTGTGCTGCGGCTGTACATTATCGCCAACCTTATTGCGTGTGCTCACTGCACTGTGTTTGTGAAGAAGTGAGCGCATTCTAAGTAAGACTGTGACACTGGCTAAGCTGTGAATTGCTACCGAGATAATTGCCTACTTTTGCGTCATTTCGTCTATGTTAATTTAAGTATTTATTTACAATATCATTTATAGATTAAACTCATTAAAGAGACACTGCAGCCTGGCAAATGCGCAATTGGGCTACAAAATGCATTTTGAGTCGAATGGTGTAAAGTGCTTGGGATATAAACAACTACACAAACATCCATTGAAAATCACCTGGGGGGGGGGGCACTTTTGCAACCCCCAAAATATGTGTGTTCAGTGCTGGTTGAGATTCCAGCTGTAAACGTTTCACCCTCTGCGCACATCAACCGGATGTTTCAAGCAGGATATCGTAAACAATGCAAAACATGACATTTTCAAGGATTTCAGGGAACAATAATTTATGGAATTTTGAGGAAACATTTTTGCTATTTTGTTTGGTAGAATACTATTGTTTTATATTAAAGAAAATGCTTTCATACAAATAAAAAAATTATACAAATAAAAATGTGTTGTGTTTTTTAATCACAGATAGGATATGGTTATATCACATTTTAACCCATTAAAGTCCATCGCCATTTTATAATCTGCGTTGTTTCATAAAAAAAAAAATTGTGTATGATGTTTCATAGCATCTTTTAAAACTCGTCATTTAACCCCAAAAAAATTGAAAAGAAAATAAAAGATGATGAAATACGCTTTAATTTGATGTGTGTCTTGAACACTTGGAGAGTGAGTATTTTTCCGAATTTCTGAAGTGTGAGCATTTACCATTGGGGTCTATAAAAGTTTATTTACTGGTCTGCTAACTTTAAGCCACGTAAGTTTTGCGCACCGCGTAAACAACGTTCGTCTTACTCTATTGTTAAGTTTAAGGACTCGTTCAGTTTGAGAATACACTGTTCTAGTTTTCGGACCCAAAACCTCCAGCCAAACACGACGCAAATAAAAAAAACGGCGGTGATATCTGCATGTACAGCTTCATGTATGTATTACGCAGACAATTTATTCAGCCACAAGAGGGCGTCCTTACATTTCACAATGCAGGTTCTTTAAAGATTCTCATTTTCAAGTTAAGCACACCTCGGTTTAACCACAGGCTGTGGTTTCATTGTGTGGAAATCATTTTGAAGTTTAAAGTGTATTTCATTGGAAAACAATGCTGAAAGTTCAAAAATCAAAAAAAAAATCAAAAAAATTACATTCAATGAATTTCAGATTATAAGGAAGCATGAACATAAAATCTGTCAAAGTTAGCCGAAAATCGGCTAAAACGGTCACTGTGGACAGGATTAGACCTCGGCAACACGTGCGCTGCATGCGGCCGGGCTGACTTACATACGATGTATGTGCGTACATATATGTACAACGTACGTGCATGTCATATACACATCGTGGAAGTCCTGTGCATGTTTTAAAGCTCTCTACCGCAACTTGCGCAAGGGTATTTTTAGCCGACGTCGCGTCAACTGTGTGAACAATTTGACAAGCTGGGAACTTGGCACTGTTGAGGCAAATGTTTACCCTATCATTTAATAGGAAATTCAAGATTATATCTGTACGGATTGACTTGTTAGCAATTTTTGAAAAAGGAAAGTTCTTTTCAACGGAACTTCCGGTCTGATGACGTCATACGCCTAAAACTTTGCACACGTCTTAAGTGGGTCAAGATCATCATATACACCAATTTTTAGGCGATTCCAGCAACTTTCGCCACAGACATCTATTCAAAATACATTTTTGAAAATGTTCAACCTGTCGCTAGAGGACGATCAAAGATTGCATGACGTCATCTGTAGATGAATTGAAGAATACGCTCAGCCAAGAGACTAACACCGTTAAAAGCAAGTTCATATCTATTACCACTTTTAAATAATAAGCCACTTCCGGTTTTGGCCTTTTTCGACAGGAAGCAAGGGTCACGTGATTTCACGCACACTAAATGAAATAAAGACCTCAACCTACTCTACCACCTGCCGGCAACACAATGCTGCGGACGCATACGGTTGATTTCTTATGTATTTTTAAATATTAAAAGTGTCACAATTTAATTGCCCATTAATAAACACCGGATGACGTCATCATGACGTCATCATTACACAATGTTGTTTGAGTTAGGGTCTTTCCTTGGACAAAGATTGGTGTAAATGAATTACTGGCAAAGAGTCGAAAATGCCCTTTGAAAATCGACAATTTCTTTTTAATTTCTGTGTACAAAGTCTATGGTAAAAATTAAATATTCAAAAATCTACAATAAATTAGTCGATGACGTCACCATGACGTCAATCTTCGGGACACATCTTTGCTATAGGGACTATGCTTATGCTAAGTTTGAATGATATATGGCAAAAATTAATGCCAAAAGTGGCACTGAGGAAAAACATGCACAAAGTCAATGGCATTTGAAGTGGAACAAGAAGAAAGGCTTTTCCGCAACTTTGCGGAAAAGCCAAAAAAAAAAATGAGAACAAAAACAAAGGCTTTTTCGCAAATTTGCGAAAAAGCCAAAAATCTTAACGAAAACAAGAGCTGTTTCGGTGTGTACACCGAAACAGCTAAAAACTTAAGAAAAGGTACAGTAAGGTTTTGATTTTCTCAGATGGCCGGCAGTGGTGTAGTGAGATCCAATGCTCGACTCTTCACCGGTGCTCTTTTCAGTGTCTCAGGAAGGTCGTATCCTCTCAAAAATAAAGATGGGTGAAGTTCATCAGGATATGGCTGGCCGTATTTAAAGTGGTTGCTGCAGACTGTAGTCGATGATTTTACTTTGAAATCCTGCCGTTGGGTCAGTTGAGTCCAGAGAGGAAAGTGTTTCTTATCCGTGCATGAGTGGAATCTGAGTGTGTTTACATGCTCTTTGATGACATCTATCAAGAGAAGGGGAAACGTAAGATAGAGATATTTATTGTTTGATGACGGAGAAAAATAAACCACATAAGACTTCGCAATTATTTTCATGAGTAAAACAATGAAGTAGGCTATCTAGCTAAGCCTACTACAGTACTAGCTGACTAGGACAAATATGTACATGTGTACATGTTTATTTTTTTCACATTTTCGTGAACAGAATATAAATAAACAATCATGAAATTGTCTGTAAAAGTCACACATCGTTCGCTGACAGAAGTAACAATTAAACCATTATAAAAGCCACATATTTGTCCGATAAGAAAAGAGTCATAAAAGGGAGCTTTTGAGGGGCACAGAAACTTAAATGCATTGGCCGACACAGTCATGACAGTGCAGAGTGTCCCGTGTTTCCCCGCTCGCGTGCCGGTCGTCGGCACATCGCGATTGCGTCGGGTCGGAACTGCGCGCTACTACTTTTTGTCGTGAGAACATTTTTTTTCTGTACATCAAAGTAAAGTAAAAATTCAAAGTAAAAATTTCGCTGCTCATTTTACTCATGAGTAGATGAGCAATGACTCACGAGTAAATGAGCAATGAAACTGAGTAGATGAGCAGTGACTCATGAGTAGATGAGCAGTGACTCACGAGTAAATGAGCAATGAATTGAGAGAAAGCATTACTCACTGAGCAAAATTGAGCAGATGAGCAGTGAATGTTATTTATATTCTCCGTTTCTTACCATTCGGAGCTTAACCTTCAAAACTGCAACATGAATGTTATTTCTGCAGTCAAACCTTATGCTTGTCACATGTGTGACAAAAGCTTCGGACGGAGATATAACCTACAGAGGCATGCAGAAAATGTACATGCTGTAGATGATTCTGAAACAGATGAAGTTGAGGAGGATCATTCTGAACCTGATTGGCAAAGCCGTAGATTTGAAGATCCTAATATGGAAAACTATGAAACTGAATCTACGTATGATGAAGACGAAGATCTTGAGGACGATGATTCGGAATCCGAAACGGAGGTGGAAGATGACGAATTATCTGATGAAGACGAGTCTAGTTCTGATTTGGAAGACAACACCGCATATCGAGACTGGTTGAAAGAGTCCATAGAAGCCACCCAGGAGATGTGGAGTGACAAAATTTAATATGAAAAGTACATTAACGAGGATATGAGTAAAGATCAGGCCAAGGAAAAGGCCAACAGGAAGACCATGTGGGCAGTCGAGCGAATCTTTTTCAACAAATACAAGTATTTTTTGTTAAGTTACCTATATCTGAAAGACAGTGGCACCCATCAAGAAATTGTGGAAGATATCGAACGAAAATTGATTACGGGCATGAAATAAACACTGCTCTAGATACCGTAACACTTTTGACGGATTGTTCCAACAAGATGAGGATGAAGAAAACGATGAAGACAGTGATGATTAAAGACTAGTAGTTTCAAAAAGATTACTCATTTTTTTAAATAATCTAGCAGTGTCTTATAGGAAAAAAAATAGTATTTGAAATAGTCTCCCCTTATCACTCTTATACAGTAATTCCTTATGGCTTAGAAGAAGAGCATGCCCATGCATGAAGATTTAAACTTGTGTCCACTGGGTTCTATATACGATGTGGCTTTAAATAGACAGTGTATTGTAAACCGGTATATGTCAGGTACAAAAGACAATATTATTAGAAACAGGTCTG